TACCCCAGAATGTATTGAACTGCATTTTTTTTTTCAGAGAGGTTTTTGCTATAGGGTGCATGCGCTCACCAGAAAGACAGAGAGATAGAAAGCAAGAAATCACCTCCCAGGGGAGATGGCCACGCCGCAATCCCTTCTCCTCCATTGTCCTCTTGGGATCTTGGGCATGCACGCACACACGCCCAAGGTGAGTTTAAGCTACCCCGTCCAGGACTTGAACCATGGTCGACTACATGGGAGTCCAGTGCCATAGCCATTATGCCAACTGCTGGTCCCTAGAACTGCATTTTTGTAATAGCCCTTCAGCTCCAACTCACAGGACCTGGTACGTATTACAGGGTGGATCCCCTCACAGGAACTGGTGATACCATGTCTGTGAGTCACTGTGAGTATTCTAGGAGGCCGAAGTGTTTCTCTGTCATCCCACCAGTCACTGTTTGTGTACAGGCAAGATGAAGACCAGCGTAAAATAAGCCGTGTGCACAGACTTTATTGGAGAAAGTAATTACCGGTGACCTCACTAAAATGGTGCCAGGGTCAGCTACTCCCCAGGGCGTGGAGAGGTGTGGCTCTCATTCCCCAAAGTGCCCCAACTTCCTACAGTAGCCACAGAGGCAAAGTGAGAGGACATTGGCTTGTGCAAAAATAGCTTGATTCATGTTTTAGTAGATTTTATCAGGCCTGTACTGCTTATCCAAGCCTTTTCTCCTCTCCCCCGAAATCCTGACTTCGAAGCAGTCTCCCGTACCCTGATCCAGTCCCTCATCTGTCCCCAGACGTCTGTAGTGACTACTGTCACCTAACTGTACCCCTCCCCCCTCCCCAGTTCATTCTCCACACAGTGATCCGCTGGGAGGAAATATTTACCACATGTGAAAATCAGATATTGTTTTCATATGAATAAAGGACTTTTACCAACCAATACGAAAACACCATTTACACAAAGCAACAGGGGAACCCGCGTGGCTAGGAAACATTCAAAATGTTCTGCTTTTCATAGGAAGAGAAGAAACAGTTAAATGATGAGATGCTATTTATGTCCTTTAACTATATCAATGAAAGCATAGTAAGTAAATACATGCAGTATTGATGAAGGTCTAGGGAATACAAAATTGTTTATTTTTTGAGGGGAGATATATAGGGTGTGTACTCACGTGAGAGAGAGAGATTGACGGAGAGAGAGAAAGCATCTAATTATCTCCCTCTCTGCCCCAGGATCTTCATAGCACGATCCCTTCTCCTCCATTTTCCACTCAGGATTTTGGGTGTATACACACCCAGCGGGCCTCGATCCATGGTCAGCCATGTGGGAGTCCAGTGCCTTAACCACTATGCCACCTGTAGGCCCCATAAAAAGTTCTTAAACATTGTTGGTTGCAGTTGAAGATGTTATAGTTTTTGGAGGGTAATTTGATAATATGTAGAAGATGACTTTAAAATGAATATAACCATTCTACTTTATGACGTAAGGAAATACTAGGACAGTGTGCAGAAACCATGTGTATATAGGAAGATGTTTGTTGATCGGTTTCTAGTGTTGAATGACAGAGAACAGCCTAACCCAGAGTTGGTTAAATAATAAAATGTGGCTTACCTAGACAATGGCTTGTATGACACCATAAAATGTGATGTAGAGGTCCTTTTTATTTGCTCTGAAACGCTTCCACAATATATATTTTTTAAATCATTATTTTACTTAACTTTCTTTATTTTTATTTTGACCAGAGGTGGACAGAGTGTGAAAGGGAGATAGAGAGGGAAATGGAGAAAGCAAGCTGCCAGGTCCAGGACTCAAACCTCAGTTGGCCGTGAGGGATTCCAGCGGCCGTAATCACCATGCCACCTGCCGGCCCCATCACGATATATTTTTTAAGTGAAAAAAGTAAGTTTCGAAGTAGCATATAAAATGTCATTTCTTTTTGTAAGGAAGAAGTGTATTGCGAATGTGTATATCCCAGGGAGAATTATGGAAGACTACATTCTAGAATATAAATTGTTTGGCTTTTGATTTTAAGTATATAGGTGGCAAACAAATATGGCAAATATGTGTGTACACCTACACTCAAACACAAATATATTCTCTCACCATCCTCCCCATTCTCCTTAGCTTCTTGATACAGCTTTATCATAACTTTTTGTTAAGTAATGTGCATATTATTACTAGGTAATTATTATTCACTTTTAAAAAGGAATTATTTTATTTAACTTTACTTATTTATTTTTAATTTGACCAGAGGTGGACAGAACATGAAAGAGAGATAGAGAAGGGAATGGAGAAAGCAAGCTGCCAGGTCTGGGACTTGAACCACTGTTGGCCGTGAGGGAGTCCAGCACCCTTAGCCACCAGGGCACTTGGCAACCCCAATATTATTCACTGTTCAAGTTAAAAGGCACTGTGACTATTTTCTTTGTTTTTCCTAACGTTAATTGCTTGTCTTATTTGCATAGTTCTGTGCGCATTTGGGAAAAAACAGTGTTTCCCTCACTAAGATAATTCTCCTTTTCACCATGGACTGGTTGTCTTCACCCTAGTATGCAGTTTTGCTCCTAGGACTTTTCTTCACACTCTTTAATTGGATCCTACGTTTTTCCTTAGATGTCCTGTTCTTTTCGTTTTTTTGAAGCATATTCTATAATAGTTTTCTCAGAAAGAGAAAGGCATATTTTTATATCTTTGTTCTACCTTTATACTTAACTAAGCAGTTGAATTTTACAATTACAGGTTGAGGATCACATTTTCTTAGAACTTTGAAAGTGTTTCAGAGCTTGGAACACAAAGAGCCACCTAATTAAGGGACAGACTTAACTGGCTTTCGAATGGCTGCAAAGTCCTCAGCTAATAATGAAACCGACTGATTGGGGAGGACCCTGTCAGGCCCTCTAGGAAACTTTCCTGGCCTATCTCATGAGGGCTTATGTAGTTATTTTTTTTTTTTTTTTTAATAAAGGTTTTTACCTTAGGGTGTGTGTGCTTGCCAGAGAGAGACAGAGACAGTGAGAAGGAAAATGAGAACCCCTCCCTGACCCCCCAGAGGATGGCTATGCTGGAATCCCTTCTCCTCCATTCTCCTCCCAAGATCTTAGGCACACACACACACACACACACACACACATACACCCAGCACGATTTTTGAGCCACTGGGTCTGGGATTTGAACTGCAGTTGGCCACGTGGAAGTCGTGATACAACCATTATACCATCTGCTGGCCCCTATGCACTTCTCCCCCTCCCCCCTTTTTAAAATTTGAATTCTATTTTATGTTAGAATTTCTTATTTACATGTAATTGTACATCTTTATGGCATACAGCATGCATAAAGCATACATGCAGTATGCGATAATGAAGTCCAGGATATTACCATATTCGTTTTCAACAAAGACCCTTACCTATGGCTTGTACACTTCTTGGCCCCATCCACGTTCAGAAACTCCGGCCGTGTGCCGCTCCTTCCATCAGATACGGGTAACTGCTAACATCCCAGCATGTTGAGTGCTTATTGCAGTTGGGTGGAGCTAAGCTCACCTGCTCAGGTAGCTGCTTACCACCCAGCTAGCAAGTCTACCCTTCAGACTTTCAGCCTTTCTATTCTTCAGCTTCCTTGGGTGGTAATGTGTCCCTTCCTACTGGGGTTATACGAATGCAGATGAATGATATAACTAATTCTTGGAGACTTTATGGAGGGGCAACTTATGACTCTTTAAGAGAACCCTCTGACCTTTAGGCTTTATGATCTTGTGCTCTTCCAGCTGGTGTTTTCCTTGCACGACCTTCCGGGGATCTTGGCCTCCTTTGATTTTACTTATTCTTTAAGATTCAGCTGGCAGGCTTTCATCCTCATTTCATCTTCTTTCCTACTTCTATACTTAATATGTAGTTTTTCCCTTTATTTTTAGACTCAGAGATAGAGTAGTGAGTTGTGGTATGTTCACCCAGGACTTGTCTCCTGAGCCCCGGATGTATTATGAAACCCATGATAGGTACAGGGAGTAGTGAGAGATTTCTAACAGAAAAGACTAGTATGTGACCAATGGAAGTATACTTTTGTATATTCCTCATCAAGTGAAGAGTTCCACCTTAAAGAAGGGAGAGGAATATTATGACTGGGATTCTAGCAGATTCAAGTCCTTTGATTTTCCCGGTGAGGGAAAGGGTGAAATACGATCTCCACTGGAACAATGGTAGTGTGCTGTGACATATAGTTTAGAGAGAGCATTGCATCTGGGGACAATCTGATTTTCACGCCATAGCTCTATCGTTAAGAATTTAAGGGGGAGCATGGGCAATATTCCTAAATTCTGTGGGGTTTCTATTATTTTATCTGTGAATTAACATAACAATAACCTCCCTCCCAGAGCTATTGTAACAATCAAGCCAGCATGAGAAAAGATTAACATTGTATCTCTGCTTTTCCAAGTAGAAGAGTTACTGCAGAAGGAAACAGGCTTTCCCAACCTAGTGAGCTTAGTTCTTTAACTCCGTCTGGAAAAGGTTTGAGTGCTTTTACTAGTAACAAATGATGCTATTAAGTTGCTGTGTAGACATCTTGAATGATCTTATCCTGCATGTCTGTAAACAAGCGTGCCATGTGGCATTTGTGTGATGGTCCCTGGTAGTATTTGAAACATAATTGCACTGTATCTGTTGAGCCAGTCTGTGTTTAGGCTACTGGCCAAACCATGGTTCAATCTGCTTGAGAGTCTCTCGTTTTCTGATCTACAATAACAACTCTTTTTAAATTCTACCACATTTATACCTATGCTGCTTCGATTTAGAATTCGATTGGTATATTTCTCCGCCAATAGTTGATGTTCATTATGTATACGTGGACAATGCCGAAACCACAGTTCATTTAAGTGACTTAAAATATCAGTAATCCGTATAAAGACCCTATAAATAACATGAATCTATACACAGACATTTATAATCTATTTAAAATCTATATAAAGCAAAATTATTCATAATACCTTTCTTCAGAGCATACTTTTTTTTTTTAATTTCAGAATAATTTAGAAGAGGATGAAGACGTTGAGATGAAAAATTGTATAACCCAGGGAGACAAACTACGTGCCTTAAAGAGCCAGAGACAGCCACGCTCCTCACCATCCTGTGCATTTAGGTAGATCCATTTTTTAAGTTTGAATTTCAACGGCTTCCCTCTGTGGACAGAACATTTCAATTTCTCTTTTTAATGTCATTCTCCATTTTTGGTTTATCGCTATGGGTTTTCAGAAAAGTGATGATGCATCTTTCTATGGTTTTCTATGCAAAAGGCGTCACCCAATATTTTGCGTTCTTTATTTTATTACTGTTGGGAGTAGCTAACTTATGGAAGCTTGTTAAAAGCAACTGTTGGATCCCAGACTCTTTTGGTGTTTTATAAACTGACAAGTAGTTATCTCTGAGACTCTGTTTCAAAGTCCGCTGGAAAGTCCACCCTTCCTCTGGAGTGAGTGTCTTGAGTGGTGACCAGTCCTCACAAGTACGCTTTTGTAGTGAAGCTAGAGTGTGCAGAAAAGGATTATATGGCCACCGTCGGTCCATCCGAACGAATTAGCTTTACTTTCTGTTTTGAAAATGGAGTAAGTGATTCTTCCCTGTGCCTGTCAAGTTATAAACTATCTCGATTTTGAATTTTGAAATTACTCCTCAGAGTCAGTGGTGCCTCTTGACTTCTGACCACAACATTTGAAAGTCATTCGTAGTTGAGATTGAGTAAAAAAAAAAAAATTAAATCAAAAAAAAAAAAAAAAAGAAAGGAGAACAATGTAAAGGTCAGTGTTGATGCAAATATCAAGATTCTTCTCTGCAGGATAGTGATTGGCAAAGCCCTAATCCACAACTGAATTTAATGGGAAAGGGCTGTTTTTCTTGGGCTTCTTCCCGCATATCAGGAAGGCTGTTTTGCCAGCCTTCAGATTCACAGGGAATTTGCATGTGGTTTGTTATCTGGGAGGATTATAACATTTGAGTCAGACTGGGTCTTGAGTACTGGTTATCTAATTTAAGACATAAAGGTTCATACTGCTCAGAATCGAGGTTTTAATGTTCTATAGTGTGATAGGAAAATGGGACAGCAAGCCTGGTGTTTCATAATAACCACTAACTGCTGATAGAAAGTGGAGAAATACCTTTTATAAATTTAATTTTATTTATTCATTCATTTTAATTTGACCAGAGAGAGACACACACAGAGACAGAGAGAGAGATAAGGAGAGAAAGGGAGAGAGGGAAAGTGAGAAAGCAAGCCGCCAGGCCTGGGACTTGAACCGTGGTTGACCATGTGGGAATGTCCAGCACCTTAACCACCATGCCACCTGCTGATCCCAAGAAGTACCATGTATTGAGCACTTGGTATTGGCCAGGACCATTACTAGGTGTGCTTAGTTTGAATATGAGGTTAAGAGAGTTAGCACAGAAAATATGCCCCATTGCCAGTGTTTGGGTTGGTTGCTTGATATTAGAAGGTTAAATCGCTTCCCAATGCAATGGAGTTAGAAACAGAGTTGATATTCACATCTAGTACTGTTCAAAGTCTGCTTTTTCACTATGCATGGAATGCAGAAAAGTCAGTTTGTATTGATAATTGCTTTTTTTTTTTGCTATTTTTCCTTGAAACTCTAAAAAGTAGTTTTACATATAATAAATTTCAAACATATTTTATTTTTAAGAAATCATAAGGGAGGAAGGGATAAATTGGAGGAGGGTGTATAATAACTTGGCAACTAAATAGGCAAAATGAATGAAAGAATCTCTCTGATATAAATTGTAGCAGGCTTGCGCCAATATAGTTTTCCCATTTTCTTTCTCTTCTTGCACTCTCCCCCATTATTGTGGAATTTAGTTATAAACAGCATCCTGGTACCGTCATTGACCATGGGTACAATACCATCTTCTGATTCAAAAGCAACGTGCTATAAATACATTCAAGATGAAATAAAATGACCAAAATGGATTTCCTGCTGGCTCTAGGGTTTATTTTATAAAGTGGGTCAATACGAATGTTCGTTTGCAATGTTGCCACCTTTGTCATGTACCGTTGTACTTGTCTGACTCCATCATGAATACCTCTCAGTCTTTGTTGACGTGCTCGTGAACCTGGTGATGCGAGAGCATTTTGTCTCTGCTTTCCGCAGGTCAGATGAGATGAAAGGGCACCCTCGAGCAGTGTCCCAGCCTCTCAGGTACGGTTCCCGGCATGAGTGCTACCATTTCGTACATACATGCTACCGTTTAGGCTTGTTTCCCAGGTCTTAAACCGGTTTCTAGACAAATGCACACAGCTTTTGCTTTCTAAAGTCTATTTGTTGTTGTTGTTGTTCCAGATTGTTGTCATATGTTGTACTGTTAATGCTTTTCGTGAAGAGGATTTTTGGTTTTCTTTGTGCCCTTTGGGCTGTGTGGCTGTGGTCGGGACATGGATGTACTCGGCTCCCAGCATGCTGTGGGGCCTCCCGGCGATGAGTCCGGTCCTTAACTTTCCTCTCAGCCAGTGACTGAATTGGCCTTACCCTGCCCTCCCCTTTCTGTTAGTCCTTTGGCCTTGCCCCCCACCCCCCATTTCTATTAGTCCTTTGCCCCTCTTTTTGGCATGTGTTTGTTTCACTCCCTTATTTTCTAGTTTAATTTCCTCCTCTTTCTTCTACATCAGGAGAAAACATTAGTGTTTTTCTCTGGAAAAATGTTCCCTAAACTTTCCTGGAGTGATACCGGGCTCCAGCTGGGTGAGAACAGTACAGACGTTTGGTCAAGACTGTTGGTGAAATAGGGGAGAAGCTTGATCCGCTCTTCGCTACATGGTTATGTGCCCGTAGGTTCAGGATAGTGCAGTGGAGGCAGCTGCTGCTTTATAGAACTTTGCCGATTTTTGCTTGAGAGGCAAAACGTGCTTACACTGCTGTGTGGAGGGTGCACGACGAAGGAGAGAGTCTCTAAGTAAGTAAGTTTTCTCTAACAGACAGGAAAACCGGCCAGTTAGGTTAACTGGTTTGTCCGGGATAAAACAGACTTGGTATTAAAGCCATGACTGGGGCCCCAACTTTCCACACTGGAGCTAGTTTTCATTTTTGTGCACTGGCACCTGCTCTGGGTCCAGCACTGTGTGAGCCACTCAGAATAGAAATGAGAGACGAGTCTTCGCCCTCAGGGAGCGGATGTCACGTGAGAGAAATGCCAACTATCAGTGGACCCTGGTGTAAGCTATGATGTATTATGAGACTATAGGATAAAGTGGGGCGATGAGCCTACTTGAAGAGTCAGTGAAGGCTCGCGGTAGAGGTCACAGCTGACTGGCCCATGGGAGGCCCAGCGATAGGCGTGGGTGAGATGGAGGGAAAGACAAGGGGTGGAGGGAGGTCAAGAGATGAGAGGGTGGCAGTTGTCCTGGCAGGAAAAGCAGCACGTGCAACCTGGACAAAGGCGGGCGTGCAGTTCATTTGGGGAGCTCAAGGCATTTTGTGGAGCTGGAATAGAAACGGCTAATGGCAAAGTGTGATTAGAAGAGCAAAAACTGGGGCCGGCAGGTGGCATGGTGGTTATGGGTGCTGGATTCCCACGTGGCAGACCGTAGTTTGAGTCCTAGACCTGGTGGTTTACTTTCTGTCTCTCTCTGGTTCAATTAAAATAAGTAAATAAATAAAGTTAAATAAAATAATTATTTAAAAAAAAGAGCAAGTATTGCTCCAAAGCCAGATTTTGGAGAGGACTGGTAAGCCGAGCAAAGAGATAAGATTTTAGGAGCACTGAGGAAAGATGAAAAGGTTTAAACAGTGAAGTGACGTGATTAGATATTTTAGATTATTATTATTATTATTTTAGATATTTTTTTCCCTAAGGGCATGTGTACTCATCATGAGAGACAGCAAGAGACAGAGAGAAAGAGAGAAATCACCCCTGGGGGGATGGCCATGCCACAATTCCTTCTCTTCTATTCTCTTGGGCTTTGGGGCATGTACGCACCCATGCCCAGCGTGAGTTAAAGCCATCAGGTCCGAGGCTTGAACTGCGGTCGACTATATGGGAGTCCAGTGACTTAACCCTTATGCCATCTGCTTGTCCTTAAATTTTAGATTTGGAATTGTTAAAGAGTGAGAGTGAAAGATGCTACTAGGAGCCAAGGGTGGGATTAATGGCGCCTCACCGAGGGCGGCTGTGGGAGTGTGAAGGAGAGGATGGGGAGGAGATAGAAGGAAATGGGATCTGAGGACGTGCTGAGGACTCGGGACTGGTGGTTGGGGTGGGGAAGGGAAGGGACCAGGGAAGACAGGATTGGGGCGAGGAGCGAGACTTTGAGTTCTGGATCACAGTGTCAGTTTGCCACTTGCCAGCTGAGTGACTTTGGCTGAGGAAGTTTTCCTTTGTGCGTTTATCCCCTCACTTGTGCAGTGGGGACAGCAGTGTGAGCTCTCCCTGGGTTGTTGTGGGGATGAGCGGAGTCAGCGTCCCAAGGCTCTGCACCCTGCAGAGGTAGTGCTTTCGGTGTTGGCTGTCACTGTTGTCAGGACCTATCATGGTATCTTTAAGTTGATTCATTTAGCTTGTCCTAGTTGGTTGCTGACTATTTAGGATGACACAACTTTAGTGTGACACTCTGCTCATTTTTTTCCCCACAAAGATTAAGTTCTTCCCCACAAGGATCTGCATCTACTTTGAAGACCGCAAAAGTGGCTTTGTCCCCTTCAGCAACGGCCAAGAGGATAAACAGAAGCTCTTTGTCCTCAGGCACCAGCGTAAGAAGGTAAATGTTCTCTGCTTCTTCCGAGGCCCTGGGAGGAGGTGAAGGAGGTATGCAGCCAGCAATGACGTGCTTTGTCAGGGAGTGGACAAGGCGGGAGGAGAGAGACCCCAGCAGGCTCTGTGGTTTTCTGTGGCTCTGCACCTCACTTACGTGGCAGGGGACAAGGCCGCCGTGGGGAAATGTTATAGGCCAGCCCATTCTTCCAGTGAATCTTGAGCCTCTTAATGTGACCCGAAAGGTGAAATTCGGTGGCACATGTAGGTGGATCGCATCCCCCACCTGACGTGTGCAGGCAGGTGAGCCTGCCTCAGAGAGGTAGGGCCGCTGGCTGTAGCCGGGTGAGTGAATGTGTATAAACTGGATCTTGTGTTTCAGTCTGCTTTGACCTTTCCCCGGTACGGCCCTTCTCATTTACTTCCCATCCCAGGACCAGTAGAACCCCCAGATGTTTATTTCAAGATCTCTAGTCAAAGGTTTTGGCCATCTTCTTGGGCCTTTGTTAACTGCTTTGACAAAGGGACTTGCCATGTAGCGCTGAAGGCCTCGTTCCGAGGTCACCAAGGGTAGTCAACACAGGAGCCGTCCTGCCACCATTTGCATTGCTCAGCGTTGTCTTCATCACATCCCCCTGCGTCCTGAACGTGTTAGGAACAGGAGCTCTGCCTGAGTATGCATCGTTGTCTGTGTTTTTTTTTTTTTTCCTCCTCACCTGTGTTTTCCATTCAGCTTTTCCATAAACTCCCGGCTAGCCAGCTCTCTAGGGAACCTGAACGTGGCCACAGACGATCCAGAGAACAAAAAGACCTCCTCATCCTCAAAGGCAGGGTTCACAGCTGGCCCGTTCACCACCTTCCTGAATGGCAGCTCCCAGCCGACCTCCAGAAATTACCCTGAGCTCAACAACAACCTCCAGTACAACCGGAGCAGCGGCAGCATGGGGGGCAATCTGAACAGCCCCCCAGGCCCCCACAGCACCAAGACCGAGGAGCACAGCACCCCCCTCCGACCCACCTACGCCGGGCTGTCCTCTCCTCCAGCGCGATTCCTGAGCCGTTCTATCCCCGTAAGTTCACAGACACCAACTCTTGGTCCACAGAACCCTGAGTGCAGCTTTTGTGCCTTGCCTTCCCAGCCAAGACTGCCACCAAAGAAATTCATCAGTGCCAAGGATGCCCTCTAAGCGCTGCCACCCCTCTGTGCTGTGAACCTGCCTCTGCACTGCTTCTGCTGGCTCCTTTTCAAGTAAAAGCCAAGTTTCAACTGAGTTTTCCTCTTTCCTTCTTTTTCTTCCGCCCCTCCCTGTCTCCTTTCTAAGTGGTTTCTCTTGAAAGCAAACAGCTTTCATTCCACTCATCGTGGACTCTGTTGATTTAAGTTGCTCTTTCAGTCAAGTTTTCAGATCGCTCAGTCCTGGTACAAAGCCAGGCGCTGGGTCATACAACCCATGGCATTCGCCTTGCTTGTGGTGGTGATGTTAGGAATGATGGCTTTTTCCATGTCCTATACCAGTGAGTGAATTTAGGCGTATAGAAGTCTGGGAGGTGCCAAATGAACAGTATTTTCCCAGAACTGAGCATCAGGCTCTGGAGCATGTCACCTCCTACAGGGAACTGAACCCGAGTTCATTAAGTAGCACATGGAAGGTGTCTACGAGAAGGTTGCTGGGAGTACCTGGGATGCAAAGGGATGTACAGGCAGAGAATGAGGAAGATGTCCCAGCTCTCCTGGCCCAGCCCTGGTGGTGCACGCTGCTAAGTTGTGCTCTACAAGGTGGACCTCTTAGAAGTCCCGAGTTTGATTCCCAGTCTGTCCTAATGCTGCCAGGCATGATGGCACACGCCTGTCATCACAGCAACTTGGGCAGCTGAGGCAGGAGGATTGTGAATTCCAGGTTTACCTGGCCAGACCCTGGGAATGGTGGCATGTACCTGTCTTCCCAGCTAGGATCGTGACATGGCAAGATCTTGTGTTTAAAAACAAAACATCAAACCACACACACACACACACACACACACATACACACACACACACACACACACAAACACACGTGTATGCACATACATATACATACAGTCACTCTTCTATGTGAAGTACCCAACAGAACTAATAGAACCCCCAGATGTTTATTTCAAGATCTCTAGTCAAAGGTTTTAGCCAGCTTCTTGGGTCTTTGTTACCTGCTTTTGACAAAGGGACTTGCCATGTAGCGCTGAAGGCTACGTTAGAAGGTTACCAAGGGTAGTCAACACAGGAGCCGTCCTGCCACCATTCGCATTGCTCAGCATTGTCTTCATCACATCCTCCTGCGTCGTGAACATGTTAGGAACAGGAGCTCTGCCTGAGTATGCGTCGTTGTCCATGTCTGCGTCTGCGGGAGCACACGACAGCTGCAGTGTAACAATCAGCCATCGCTGTTAGGTACAGTCTGATGGTTGGTGCCCCTGCTATGAGTTACTCTAAGCCTACATTTTATTGCTTCAAGGGTACTGAGATATATAGGAATGCGAGTTTAGATACAAGAAGAACAAGGAGAAATAGGAAGGAGAAATGGATCCTGCATATCAGGAAACGTGAGGCAGGGTCGGAACGTGGACTGCACTGAGACCCGAGCAAGCTGTGGGGTGTCCTGGGGAGGCTCTGGCCTGGTGCCCCGTCACGGTATTTTTAGCCTCATCCAGGGAGAGGCAGCTCTGTGCAGGGAGAAGCAGGAAGAAGGCCAGACACTGAGGTGGAGAGCTGCTCACAGCCCTCAGGAACAGCAGCCAGGGGCTGGACCTGAAGGGGACCTACTTCCCTTAGCGGCAGTTTAGAAACCGCAAGCCTGTGTCCTCACATGAAGATGCAGTGTGTGTGTGTGTGTGTGTGTGTGTGTGTGTGTGTGTGTGTGTTGTGTGTGTGTGTGTGTGTGAGTGCATTTGCTCAGTCATGTGTATATGTGTGTACTCTTGTATGTGTGCGTGCACATGTTCTTATGTTGTATTCATTGCCATTCCCATCCCTTCCTCTGACCTTTTACTCAGATTCCCCCTGCCTCCAACCACTCCTCCAACCAGTCCTTTCTCTAAGGAGAGTCTGGCACCTACAGTCTTCCCCATCTGATTTTATTCTCTATGATATTTTCAGTCTTATTTTAGATCGTTACAGATTAGGACCCCAAGTCGTAGTCAGCCCAGCCACCCATTAATCTTACTTTAAACCCACTATGTGGATCGGGTGTGCATATGGGACCGCAGATGGTGTAATGGCTATGTTGCTGGACTCCCACGTAGTTGACTGCAGTTCGAGTCCTGAACCGGCAGCTTAAAACTCACGCCAATGCGTGTGTATGCACATGCCTACCCTAAATCCCGAGAGGAGAATGGGGAGAAAGAGATTGCATTGTGGTCATCCTGTCTAGGGGTTATTTCTCACTTTCTGTCTGTCTCTCTCTGTTTCTTTGGAGAGCACCCATACCCTATAGCCAAAAAAAAAAAAAAAAGAGAATTGGGTATGCTTATGGAGTGACAAATTTACCTGTGTAACTCGGGGTTAGGTGGGTTAGGTGTAAAATAATGATGCATTTAAATTTTCATATACTTCACTGCAAGAATTGAGTCAGTCAATATTTTTGTATAGTGCTTATGGGTCAGTTTCTTTTAAAGACTGGAATGCAGATCTTCCCATTTTTAGAAAAAGCATAATAGGCATATAGGTAATTATATAAATATCTTGGTGATATCATGGCTGAAGGTTTAGTAATCCACATTTATAGCTGAATGCAAGAAGCATTGGTAATGTACCGAGAATAATGTTCTACTTTTTTCTGGATTCAATTTTCCTCTTTGCTTGTGGAAGCATGGGGCATCCTTTAAACAATTGTTGATTCCCCAGTGATGTTTATATAACTTGATTTTGGTTTTGTTCCATATATTGTTATTTCTTTTCACCTTTCCTCCTCCTCATCTCTCTTCTGGCTGAAATAGAGTGATTTTCCAGTAATTGGATTTAAAGTAACAGTCTGTGTGGGCAGTTGCTGCTACTCCTTCTTCCTCCCTCCCAAATTTGTCATCTTATCGTAAAGAAAAGCATTTATAAATAGGATTGCAGCATGACAACATTTGCCTCCCTCGCACCCTCCGAGGAAGGAAGAAGCAGGTCTCCTGTCGCAGACCCTCCCTCCTCCATCTTTGCCCTGAAAACCTCCTGTGAGAGAGGGAGAGGGCTCCACGTCCTAGCCTTGCTGGCTTGCTGGTACAACGTCTAAATTGAAAGGAGATTCCCACTTTGTGTGGCACAAAGAGGAAGTTGTGGGTTGTTTTCCTTTATGGTCCCATGTGTCTTTTCTCATGGTTGTGGTTTATTGTCTAAGATCATTCTTCTTTCTAGAGCTTCTAAAGGAATGAGACTGTGACCCTTGTAGAACTAGGAATAAATCATTTAATAAAAAATGTTTTAAAATCCTTTTGGAGGAAAATGAAGTCTGGCTGGCAATATCCTCCCAGCACCTTTAAGAAAGACCTAAAAACTCTTAGGGGGTGATGGGTGTTTAGAGGGAGTCTAATATTTTAAAAGCTACAATTAGCATCTCTTTTGAAAGCTGCAATTGCTCTCTCACTTTTTTGCAGCAGTTCAGCCCCCAGAAAATGTAAAAATGATTTCCTTGTTCTGTCATTAAATGCTTTAACATAGAAAACAAGAACAAGTGTTAAGGAATCCTGATGGTTGTACCAGAAGCTGAGAAAGTCAAATGTTATTTTTATTAATTTGGCCTCTGCAGTCCTAGGCTTGTCCAGCGTAATGCACGCAGCTTCTTCTTCTTCTTCTTTTTTTTTTTTTGACCCACTTAACTGTAAAAAATCAGTTTCGTTCCCTGACATTAACAGGAGTTTTCATATGCTTCAGAAATGAGGGGCATGTGATTACGGTGTGGGTGGGGTGGAAGTATTTCATTAAATTGAAATGACTTGTGGTATCTGTCTTGACTTTTTTTATGTTTTATTTTTGTGACACTTACCGCTGAATTGCTGTGCATCTGCATTGTCCCCACCTGACCCCCAGGGCTGGGGGAGGTCATGGTGCTTTCTCTATGGGCTTCTCCACCTCCCACCTTGGCCTTACCCTAATTCTGTTCTCGCTGTGAATTTTCCTCATCCACTAGCGCGAGCTCTGTGAGGGCAGGGCTGGTGCTTCTGCTTTTCATACTTCGGTGCCCTGTCCTGGCACACGGCAGGCATGCATTTTGTTGGTGGGAAAACACTAGAAGAATGTGTAAATGAATGACCCGGGTAAAGATTGTTACTTCCATTTTAAACGTAAAATCTTGAGAGTCTGCGAGTTTAAATATTTTGCCAGAGATTATACTGCAAGTATGTAAATGGGCCTAAATTCGAACGTAGGCCAGTTTCACTCCCAAAGGCATATTCTTTTCATTCATTATGTCGTGTGCATCCTGTGGTACGTAGGTAAAATTGGGGGCAGAGAAGGGCCAGGGAAAGATGTGAAGAAAGTGACATTTTAGTTGGGCTTTGGAGGGTGACTAGGAGTCACGAGAGACCTGGATGTAGATAGAGAGGAGAGGAATGGCCACTGCACAGTGAGAACCGAGGTACAACCTTCATACTGTAGTCAAAGGTCTTGGACTCTTTCTTTCTTTCTTTTTTTTTTGGACAGCTTTTTTGCTATAGGGTGGGTGCGCTCGCCAGAAAGACAGAGAGAGACAGAGAGACGGAAAGTGAGAAATCACCCCCTAGGGAGGATGGCCATGCTGCAATCCTTTCTCCTCCATTCTCCTCTCAGGATCTTGGGCACACACACACACACACACACACACACACACACGCCTGGCATGAGTTTAAGCCATTGGGTCCAGGACTTGAACCGTGGTTGACTACATGGGCGTCCAGTGACATAGCCATTACACCAACTGCTGGTTCCTCAAGTTCTTGGATTCTAAAGACAGGTAGACCTGGGTTCAGAACTTATGTCTGGGGACTTCGGCAAGTTATTTAACCTCTCTGAGCCTCAGCGAAATGAAAATGTTAATTATCAGGGGCATATCTAGAATCTCCTGCATATACCCTAAAG